CACAACAAAATAGCATTGCTCTTGAACCACCAAAATTAGTCATCGAATCTTCAATATTTATTGTTCAATATAGTGAAGAAAATCGTATGTCTATTGGAAAAGATGGCAATGGAGCTTGGATTTTAAATAACTCAACTGAAACTGCTCTTATACATACCAAAACCAACACATATCAAGTTGTAAGAAAAAATTCGCTAGGACAATATTATTTTAATGAAAGGATCGGGAATAAATATTTTGGTAATTTCGTGGAAGATAAAGAAGTTATTCACTTAAGAAGGTAAAATCAATTGCCAAAGCTTTTTTTGGGAGGAAGAAACTTGAAAACTTTTCTTTTAGAGTTTATGCTACTAATAAATCTGATGCTACCTTTCGTCGAATGACTGCTTATGTGTCAAAAACCGGTGATACAGAATTTCAACATTTACCGATATATTTACAATACGTTATGCCAAAAAAAGCATCCGTTCAAAAATTAAGTTTAAAACCCCACGGCAATTCTACCAAATCAACTAGACCTTTTACATCGACAGATCCAGCTGTATTAAAGGCATTGAGACAACAAGGGACAACGAATCGCTCTATAAATCCAGCAACTCAATATAAACAATACATTGCAAATGTATTAAGTGAACCATCCCCTACAGTAGCAACTGTTCGGGATAGAACACAAATATATAATACAAGACGAACAAGCACCAATAATGAACAAGAATTTATAGGTGTTATGAGAAGATTAGAACAAAAATCAGGGATTGTGGCACATTTGTCGATGAAACGCGGAGAATCTCCAGTAATAATATTATCTCAAAATCGTCAAGTACAAGAATTAACAAGAAGTTGTTCAAGGTTAAATGAACATGCCCGGCCAGCAGTCTTGTGTACGTAGATGTAACGGTACTTGTTTAACTTTCATAATCATCGCGTTTTTATTAGTTCTTGTTCTTCAGGTATGGACACAACGTTCAATTTAGGAAAGTTTTTCGTAACACCAAACACCAACTACATTTAGAAATACAGCCATGCAAAATCGAAGAACAAAGAAAACACCTGTTTTTATCGGACCAACAATGATACATTACAAGAACAATTCGGAAGCTTTTGAGGAATTATTAGGATATGTGAAACATAATATACTAAATCAGCAGTCGC